TTGTTATGCATTTTCATTAGATAATTCCGTTTAGAGCCATATAATATCAGACTAGAACCAGTTTTCTTAAATATCTGAAGTTGTTTTTAGAGGAATCAGATGCAATTTTTTGATTAAAAATTGGCGTATTTTCCATTCATTTTTTTATGTAATAAAATGTATTAGGCACATGATTGATGACATTTAAAACTGTTTTAAATTAGTTTGAAGAAACAGTTTGAATTTTAAAATTTATTTGGTATACAAAAACCAATTATTGTATATGTATTTTTTTTAAACTTATATCCAATTACGTGTGATAAGTTTCTGTTTCAATAACTTTTATTTCTATTTTAGTGCTTGAACCCATTTTAACTTTAACAAAACGAAAAAAAACATATACCCAAAATAATAAGTTACACACACACACACATATATATATATATATATATATGTATATATATATATATATATATATATATATATATATATATATATATATATATATATATATATATATTATATATATATATATATATATATATATATATATATATATATATATATATATATGTATATATATATATATATATATATATTATATATATTTAACATGGTTATTATATTCCAACACATTTGTTTTTGTTCATGGTTATTATATTCCAACTACATTTGTTTTTGGTGGTGATAAATGAAGTTAACATAATATCAAACGAAATTTATCTTGACTATGAAATAAGAGTCCTTTTTTATAGTTTTGTAAAATAAAACGTAATCAATATCAAAATGATATTAAATACGTTTAATAACAAAAATAAAAAAAAAATGTAATTTTTTGTATTACAAATGTAATACAAAAAATTACATTTTTTTTTTTCAAATTTTTGTTATTTAAAATGCAAAACAAAACAACTACTTATATATAGTTCTATAGAGTTTATATTTCATATATAAACATTTAATATACTCATTTTCCTTCCAAGAACTCAAATTAGTTGTAAAAAACTTGAAATGTTAAACTAATTAAACATAAGTATGTAAACCATGACACATACGTAAAAAATTTTACCCCGTTTTTTGATGTTTTTAGAATATGAATTTTTAAAAAAATCTTGACGTTTGTTAAAGTGTATAAAAATGTTACATATGTTTTTTATATAATTACTATAAAACTTCAGAAGTATTTTGCATTTTGAAAAATCAAAAAAAAATTAAAATAAGAAAAGTCACAAATAAAAAAAAAAAAAATTATATATATATATATATATATATATATATATATATATATATATATATATATATATATATATATATATATATATATATATATATATATATATATATATATATATATATATATATATATATATATATATATATATATATATATATATATATATATATATATATATATATATATATATATATATATATATATATATATATATATAAGATTAAGTGTGTTTAAACATTACATAATTTGAAGTTTACGCACGTTAGATATTTGAATACACTGTCTTTCATGTTTTCTTATAAAACAAAGTGCTGCAACTCTTTTCGTCATTACTTTGGTAGCAATGGATGCCAAGAGTTTTTGTCAAACACGCTCGAAAGGGCACTACTACTACTATTACTACTACTACTACTACTACTACTACTACTACTACTACTACTACTACTACTACTACTACTACTACTACTACTACTACTACTACTACTACTACTACTACTACTGCTACTACTAAAACTACTACTACTACTACTACTACTACTACTACTACTACTACTACTACTTCTTTTTCTTTCAAATATCGGTCCAAATAAAAAATGCATATAAAAAATAAAAATGAGGCCAGAGTGACGAATTAAAATCAATTTAGTTTCTTAATATCTTAGTCCTCAGACATCATATATTGAAAAAAGCAAAAAATATGTTTAGGAATTTTTATATGCTTTTTATGGTATGAAAGAAAGCATAAAGGACGGTTTTAGGTTTTTAATGTTTAAATCTTGTTACAATCTATTTAAATAACCACTTTTAATGTTGTTGCAGAAAGTAATAGAACATTCTCTGACGACTATGCAATTTTTGTTTTATTAGTAAATATTTTTGTTATGTTTAAACGGTTTTTTAATGTACATTTTTGTGGATTGTTGTATTGTGTTAAATTTATTCTAAACTGTGTTGAAACATTTTTGTTATGTTTATACTATTATTGTTATTTTGACGCGGTTTTTTAACGCACACTTTTTTGGATTATTGCAATCTGTTAAATTTATGCAAACATCTGTAAAAAGATTTATTAAAGAGAATTTGTTTTATTTATATTTACAAAGAGTTTTTGTTACTTAGAAATCGAGAAAACTACATATTTCGTACTTCTAATATTAACCACTGTGCATTTAAAACTACATAATCTGGTACTTTTAATTTTAACCAATAAAAATACTGTGCGCTAAGTGGTTTGACCACTTAGCGCACGGTATTTTTAGCTAAAGTTCTACACCTTTATAATAGGGTCTACACAAAGGTCTACATCTTTATAAGGTATAATAAAATCAAAATTTTTTTTTTGTTACGATAATATGTGAACCTTGAAACAAAGTTTTTCTGAAAGGCACTTAAGTATATTTACATAACATATATAAATTGACAGCATACCTATCAAACTTTTTTTTTTACATATTTTACATTGCACTTTTTTTAATAAAGAGACGCTTTTTGAGAAAATAACAGGCAGAAATATAAATCTAGGTATAAGAAATAAATATTTTAACATCCCATACGCAGATTTAAATAGAATAATTAATATATGGTAACAGGGGTATTAAGCCCTATGGGCCATTAATCCCCATTTTCTCTGTTCATATAATGAAATGACTGGTGCTGTTGTATTGAAAGAATGGGGCATTAAGCTCTTCATGAAAGAGACTAATTAACCCATAAGGAAAATTTTCATAACCACAGAAACACTATTCTGGGGTTTCTAACCATTAAGTACTTTTTTAAGTTTTTTACTGTTTATGTTATCAATGAGTTAAAATAGTGATGTTTTTATAACAAATTTCTAAAAAACTTTAAAAAAAGGAAAATTTTACTTTTTTTTAAAGTTTTTACTTTAATATTAAATTTCGATTTAAAATTTTAAATGAATAGCATTTTTAAGAGAGAAATGGTTTCATTGAACATTAATTAGTTTAATTAGTTTATTAAAATAAATGTTTTAATTAGCAGATGCTTAATGCCCCTTGTTAATTCCAACTGTTTAAAAAGCTGATTAAAACAATCAAACAACATTTATTATATAAATAAAATTCATGTTTTAATTTTATAAACATTACACAAATATAGTATAAACTGAAAAGAGAAGTTATTTATTTGTAGAAATAGTTTAAATTTTTCTTTAAATATAGTTTTGATAACGGAGCTTTTTTCCCCCTTTATTTTGCAGTATGGTTCGGCATACCAAAAGAATAAGGGAGACAGGAAAAATTTAAGCAACAGGCCAGACAATGACAGATGCCTACAATTCTGTCATACGTAAGCAGAAATTTGCTAACCAGGAATCCAAGCACTATTAAAAATACTACCAGTACTAATGGTCACAAGGCTTCTGCCTCAACATCACTACTATGTGAATTGCTGTCAACGTTATAGTCATCTGCAGCATCATCAACAGAATCATCACCTTTATTTTCAGCACCTGTAGAAAGACCGCAGAAGCCATTTCTGCTTGTCTACTATGGCCACAACAAAAAGAAAAAATCTTCTAGCCTCAGATAATAGGAACACTGATGAAGATTACAACACTATGTCTAAAATGTGGTATCGAAAGAGGTCAAAGAAAATAATGGGTGTGTATAATAATTATGTTATGTAAATAATTATGTGATGTTTGGTACCATGTTAAATTGCCTAGAACTTCCAGACGGAGCTGATAGTTAAGCTATGAATTGTATCTGTTAGAAGTGTCTAAAAATGATGTAAAAATATCTTTTACTTAAAGGATTTTTTTGAAATTTGAGTCGGCGGTAGTTGTAACTTTTTCGCTTTTTTTTCACTATATGACTTTAAGTTTAGCTGGATTAAGCTTTTGTACATATAGAAATATGTGTTGTCGATAACTAAAAAATATTTTCAGTTTGAATTTAATATTTATTTATTTTTTCAAAGAGAGAAATTATAAGTACTTGAAACATGGGGTCCCCTCTGAACCTATATACTAATAGCACTTTTATTTCTTTTATATTTTGAAAAAATTCTAGTCCTAGTTAGACAAAACTATGAGTAAATATTTAAAAAAAGTAAATATTTAAAAAAAGTAAATATTTAAAAAAAGTAAATATTTAAAAAAAGTAAATATTTAAAAAAAGACAAAAGTAAATATTTAAAAAAAGTAACAAACTTGTTGCTTTAAAAATGTATTGACACTAAGAACATGAAGTAAATATATTTCTATAAAGTACTTGTGTTTTATGTTAATTAAATATTGCTTTATTACATGCTTTTTAGTCCTTTTTACATAAAACTATACTTAATGTCTATAAAACAAGGTTAATAAGAATATTTATAACACTTTCTTTAAAACTTTTTATGAAAATATATGACGTAAACTTTCCAAAATGCATATCAAATAAAAAAACCATAAGTTTAATCTCACCGTGGATCACAAAAGATCTTAGAAGATCCTCTTGAATTAAGCAAAAATTGTATTTCAAATACTTAAAAAGCAAAACAACTAAAGTTACTTTATAAAAATTATGCCAAAAAATATGAAAGACAAATGAAATATTTAAGAAAATTGTACTTCTCTTATTTACTTAAGAAAAAAAAGTATAGTTTTAAACGCGCATGGGATATTTTTAGAGAACTTACTGGCATGCAGAAAATAAAACCGCGCTCACTGCCCAAAACTATAAAAATTTATTATGAACTTTCCTATGATCCAACTGTAATAAATAGTGAGTTTAATAAATTTTTTGTTTCTGTTGGCCCTAGTCTAGCTAATAAAATTCCTCTTATGACTAATAAAATAAATGTATATGATTTTCCGATTACTTCGGTCTTAACATCGTATAAATACCCTTATGAAGATTTTGAGCAATCTTTTAGAATGCTTAAGTGTATTAAATCAGCTGGTAATGATAATATAAATGGTAATGTTGTCATCGAGTCTTATGAACCCCTAAAAGATGTTCTATTTAAAGCTTTAGATTGTTTAATAAAACACAGCGTTTTTCCTGATTTTTTAAAAATAACTAAAGTGACACCAATTTTCAAAGCTGGATAAAGTGTCAAGCTCGATAAAAAGATGCAATTTTAGCAGATGCTAATTCGGCAACGGATATGATATAAAGTTTTTAAGAAAGATCAGAAGTGAGAGTTAATCCAAGAAGATGAAGGGTAGAGGACTCATCGAGTACATTGCCGTTCATAAATATAGGAAGGTCTAAATTATTGCGATAACGATTGGCTGAAAAAAATTAAGTTTTATCTGAATTAAAGTTCACCAGCTACTGTGAGCCCCATGCTGTAGCAGAAGTGAGATTCTTTTCAAGCTCAAATGTCTCCTGCAAGCAATCAGAGGGAGTTGGCTTCTTATCGTGACAATAATAAATGGTATTATCATCAGCGAGCAATGCCACCTTAGATGTGAGAATATCTGGAAGATCGTTAATGTAAGCTAAAAAGAGTATAGGGCTAAGGATTGAACCTTGAGGAACCCCTGAGGTTACAGAATAAGAAAAAGAGTGCTGTCCATGTAGGACAACTTTTATACTACAATTGGAAAGAAAGGGTTCAATAATCTTAAAAATGTTTCCAGATACACTGTTAGAAGAAACCTTATGGAGAAGACCAGCATTCAAAAAAAAAACACACAGAACATGCAATTTTTCAAATTATTTGCAATATTTCTGAATCTTTTGAAAATTCTTAGTTCACGTTGGGAGTTTTTATAGATTTATGAAAAGATTTTGATCCAATTGATCTGTAAATGTATGGTTCTACCAGAGTTCTATATTTGGGTTCCTTCTATTTCACATTGACATCAATGATTTACATAAAGCTTCGAACTTGATCGCAGCCATATTTGCAGATTAGACTAACCTCATTTTATCTGATAACAACATTACAACATTATTTCAAAATATGAATATCAAATTAACAAAAACCTTTGAATGGTTTAAAATAAACAAGCTATTCTACTGGCTAAATCATCCGGCGAGCCTCCACTTACAGTTACCCCTTGTAAAAGTTTATACTTAAACAATTTTAACATATATATTGAAATAAAGTATTGAATATTAAGAAATAATACTAGATAGATTTCAAGAAGTATATTTTTGACAAATTTCTAATTTTTTTATAAATGAATAATTTGAAAATAACAAATAACTTACTAAACAAAGTTTATTGTAACAATAAAATATGTATGTTTTGGTCGAAGTAGTGCGCAGACACCATCGATTGCTCCGAAATTTACCAATGCAGCCCTTGAAAATGTGCAATTAAATACGGGCCTGTCAAACAACGGATTAAAAAAACTTGTTAGAACTATAAACAAAAAATTAAGCAGCAAGATGGTATAGCGAAATTTCTACAAAGACTAGGTCAACAATTGAGCGATTTCTTCACCTGCATTGACTTAAAAATGACAGACGAAAACAAAGATTCTTGTACAGTTCATGTTGTTGCTCACTGCAATGATTTATCAAGTTTTCTGAATTATGCTGTCCCGCAAAATTTCTGCTGGCTATTTTTTTAATTAAGCTCGGATTTTTTTAATTAAGCTCGGATTTTATGGTAGCAAAGGATTTGTTAAGTTTTGCCTAAGCATTATTGATACTGCATTAAGGGATGAAACCAGCTAACCGCACCAATAAAACCTCTCACTCAAAGGACTGGTAAAGACACTGGATTCAAGAGACAAATTATTGTTAGGCTTTCAAAAGATTTGCCAGAAACACACTCCAATATTAAACAAATCTGGTCACTGATTAATGCAAATGAAGTTAAACTAATTTTGGCTTGTGATATGAAAGTTGTAAATATAATTTTTGGTCTTTAAACTCATTAAAGTACGCATCTTTGCACCTGGTGTGACTTCAAATCCAATTGTCTTGCTAAATCTGGAAACTTGCAAAAAACTGAGTTCAGTTAGTTCAAGCCTTGAGTCTTTTCAGCATCCAGGCGGGGTTGTTGCTAATGTAAAGCTGTTTGGAATTGTCATTCGAAAGCCAATCATCTGCGGGTCTGTCAATGATTTTGGAAATCATTCCACCGATAAAAATGCATCTACACTTAGGAGTTACCAACCATCTTTTTAAGATCCTCAAAATTGCTTGGATAGAAGCTGTTAAGTGGCCAGCCGCCCTCCACATTGAACTGAGCCCGTATCACGGGGGCCAGTTTTAGGGTAATGAATGCAGGAAACTTATTTAAAATTACGATAGGCTGAAGCAATTTCCTAAGACAAACATGGTTTATAATATTATGTGCTTAGTTGAAGCATTCAAAAGCATCAATTTAGTTGTCAAGGCTTGCTTTGGATACATCCTTCATCCGGATTTCGCTGAAAAAAATAAAAAACTTCAAAAAGTGTTTCCTAATGATAACTGGTACAAGCGTAACACCCAAAATTCACGCCGTCTTCTACCACATCAAGGATTTCATCAATCACAAAGGATCACCCTTGGAGCCCTATAGTGAACAAACAGTCGAAACTTCTCATTAAGATTTTTATTAACATTGATCGAGGTATAAGCGAAATAATAACCATCCAGAGTACAAAGAAAGATTGTTGCGCTACATAATTGCTGTAACTTATATTTTACGGCGTATAAGGAATATTTTCACTATCTTTAAAAGAAATATTATAGAGTATTTGTATTAAAAGAGTACATTAAGCTATTTATGAATAATATTTTGGTGAAGAAAATCAAAAAAACATTTCTTAAAATTTACTTAGATATTTGATGGTAATACCATGTAAAAAATAGGATTTAAATAGCTTTCACTTTATTTTAAAACTAAATGTATTTAAGGAAGTTGATACAAAATATTTTAGGAGATCTACTTTTTTTTTTTGTTATACTAACTGGTAGTCCTTTGACAAGGCTTTGCACTTTTTTTAAGCTTTTTTTTTTGGCAGCAGTTTATACATTAGGAAATATTGGTATATTCAAGCAAAGCATACATGGCCAATAACGCCGGGGAGGCTAGGGGGTCATGTCCTTTTAAACTTTTTTTTGCGAGGACTTTTTGTTTTGAAATGTAGGCAACTAATTAAGAAATTCTGAATTTTACTTTAGAAACTGATGGGTTGACCCCTATACTTTGAAGGCCGTGTCAACATTATTAGCATAAGACTATTTAAATCACGCTTAAAGTAGAAAATCACCATTTTGGTCTATAAAATGAAAACTGTACATATACCAATAAAATAAGTATGACAAAAATTGTTGGTATTACATAGTAGAACACTCATGTAACCGTTATTTTAAAAATAGTGACCGAATTTCGAAGTAATCCGTAACACTTTAAGGTATTAGTAGCAAAAAACTGACAAAACTTTAACTAAAACTGCAATAAACTCTACACCATTTATTCAATCAGACTGAACTTTTTTATAGAGTTTGGTGTGACTAATGGCTAGATATGCTTTAATTTTTATTAAATTAAATTAAGTGGTTCAAATTCTACAAGTGTTTTTTTTGGCGCACTATGAAGTCAAAGTTTGACTTAATTTGAACATTTAAATTAAACTTTTTTTCGCGGACAAAATTAATAGATTTCAAAATTTGCATCACAGGGTACCATGATGTGTACGCTAACTTTCCGTATAAGTGGCGTTCTTGGGACAACTAGGTGAAAATCAAGCATTTCATTTCGTTGAGCTTCTCTTTGGAATAAAATAGTTTTAAAACATTTTGAATTATCTTTGGAATGGAGTTCAATGTAATCCTTTATTCAAAAAACAGCTTTAGGAAATTATTTTATCTATAGTTTAAATATTTTTTTTTTTTTAAACATATATTTATATAAATCCTCTGAAAGGTTTTTGTGTTTTACACACTTAACCACTTATGCATGCATTTGAATTTTATGAGATTTTAAAATTTACGAGCGGTTCTCGATGAAGACTTGAGGGTTTTCTGCGAGTGTCTGCTTTCTTTTTATTTATTAAATCAATTACTGGTATATTTTTTGTTTGTTTATATTTTATACAACTTCAAAATGATTTTTACATTTTAACGATTTAATTTGTTTTTATAACAATTTTTATACTTTGTATAAATTTTAACTTTCAAGTTCTTCATATGTGATTCTCTGCGACAAGACCTGATGGTCTTCTTTGAGTATCTACATTCTTTATTCATTTATTTTTTATTCATTTATTTTAATGATATCTTCACTTGTAATTTTACTTTTGTATATTTGTATTTGAATCTCAAACATTTTAATAATAAAAAAAAGGCATCTAGGGTGCAAAAATTTTTAAAAGATTCTTAAATATGCATCGAACAATTTTAAGTTAATGATATGGCCTTTGACAACGGGGGCCCCAGCTTTTATTTTTTGAGGACCTTTTTAGAAAAAAGAATGTTTTTCAGAAATTGAGTGTCCTTTTCGTTTAATTTATAAAATTGAACGAAATTTCAATATACATGAAAACAAATAAATGACTTTGAGATAATTCATAAATATATAAACATTTCATCTGTTAAAATAAAGAAAATATATATCTGAAAATGCGACATTACAAAAATCCTGCAAGTAACGATGGGATTGCGCGTATATGAAATTATAATTACTGTTAAAAAAATTTAAAAAAACAACATAAAAAAGTACTATAATATTACAAATAATTAAAAATAATGATGATATATTTAAGAATATATTGAGATTAAAAAGCGAAAAGCAATCCGTTAATGCGTTGAAGAAATTATTTACAAAGTAAATAACTTCTTCAGCGAAATATAAAAAAAATTTTAAATGTTTTGCCAATTACGAAATAGCAAATATTATTACAAATTATCATATTAAAAAGTAATAAACCTAAAGCAAGGGTTCAAAGTTAAATAAAACATCATTTAAATTTTACACTCACTTTAGCTCTGGAAAAAGAACAACTTAAAGCTGTCATTTCGATAAGGACACAAGTCCATTTCTTAAAAATAAAATCAAAAAAGTATTCATTATATATATTTTAATAAAAAAAAGTCATTGATACTAAGAAAGTAATACCTTTATGAGTTTAGTTTATTAAAAAAAAATGACTCATCCTGAGATAATTTGTCTACTATTTTTTTGAAAAAAAAAATTTCTTAAACTGTTTATATAACTTGTTTAATCATTTTTAAATGGTTTTAAATTGACATATCAATAAAAATATATTTGTTTTTTTAACTATATAGGGAGGAAGAAACTTCCAATTTATCGGGGGAAAAAAATACAGTTTATGTTTTCTAAATTTTGTTAGTTTTTAGAGCACATATAAGAAAAATATTTGTAGGTTAAGGTTCTTAAAACGCATTAATGATACTGCAGTTTATTTTAATGAAAATTTATACTGTTTATCATACAAAGTTCAGAAAAACGTTACTCTCTTCTATAATTAAAAAAAAAAAAATAATGATAATATTTTATTTGTAAATACTTTTTTTCTTTTTTGTAGTGAGTTTAAGTGGTAGTTGTTGGGATGGTTGGTTGGAGTATAGAAACTATTGCTATTTTTTTCATAATAAGACATGGCAAGCAAAAAATTGGAGAGATGCTTTATTGTCATGTCAAACGAATGGTGGAAATTTGTTGAGTATAGCAGATCAAGCAGAAAATAATTTTGTTTTAAAAATTATTAAAGATATTGGCATAAATAAGGATAATTACTGGATTGGTAAATTGTTTCCTCGTTTTTTTTTAAACATTTTTATGATGTTTTATTTTATTTAAATCCTTTTTATTTTTTAAAGGGCTTAATGATGCTTTTAACAATAGAGAGTTTGTGTGGTCAGATAACACATATCCTGAGTATTTCGATTGGAAAGCGACAGAACCTAACAACTATTATGGAAATGATGAAAACTGTGTGGAAATGAATTATTATGGTTGGAATGATGTGGTTTGCAGTGTAGTCCGCAATTTTATCTGTAAATTTAAAACAGGTAATAGATTTATACTTTTATCTGTTTTAGCATTATTGCTTTATTTTATTTAAATGTTTAAGTTCTAATTTATACTCAGTTAAAAATTTTGTACTTTCCTATAAAAATCTATTCTAATATTTTTTTAAAAAACAAAGCATGTTTTGACTACAAATATTTATTCGCAGCCAGCATTGTGATATGGGTACCGTGTGGGACCCGTACGGGTTGTCGAATGGACCCCACATAGGTAGCCATTTGGGATTCCGCAGGGTTTTGGCCGCGGTTTCCATCCGGGGCCCATATTAGTTTACCCGCCGGGTTACCAGTATGGGTCCCAAACGAATTATACACTTATAACCCGTAAGCACCACGAATAAAAAGATCTCCGCGATGCCGGCGGTATTTTGCTGCAGTTTCCATCTAAGCCCCATATGGGTTTGCCTGCCTAGGAATGATTTTAAATCTAGGAAAACTACTTTACAATAGTTAAATAAAATATATAAAAGAGAAATTATATAACTTTATATGCTTATTTATTTCGAATAATAAGCATATTACAATTACATTTTTATTGAGCAACTTTCTAAACAATACTGCAATCACGTACCGTCTGTTTTCAAGGTTGTCTTCAAATTAAAAGCTTTTAAATTGTTGTTAAAACTTTTTCTTTAATCAAATCTTTCTTAATACTATATCTTCTTTGAATGAGTGCTGTCAAAACACATTCTTGTTGTTTCTAGTCAATTTTAACCATCAGCAAGCAAATAACGCCAACAATAATTGTTCGTCTATTGCAAATCATCAGAAATATTTTCAAGCCTTATGCTGCAAGGCAATAAAAAAAAAACAAAAACAGAAATCATCTTACATATAATGTTACTAGTTATAATAAAGCCTATATAAACATATAAATATAAATATAAATATATATATATATATATATATATATATATATACATATATATATATATATATATATATATATATATATATATATATATATATATATATATATATATACATATATATATATATATATATATATATATATATATATATATATATATATATATATATATATATATATATATATATATATATATATATATATATATATATATATATATATATATATATATATATATATATATATATATATATATATATATAGATAGATAGATAGATAGATAGATAGATAGATAGATAGATAGATTGATAGATAGATAGATAGATAATTTTCAATTAATAACTTCATTGTTTCAAAAACTAATTAAAAACTAAATTCTTACAAAATCCAATACCGCGGACCGTTTCCATGGAAACATTTTTCAAAATTTATCACAAAAAATAATAATGTTCATTGCATCTCTTTGGAAAAATCTAATCTAAGAATCTCTTATTACAAAAAGACTTTGATTTAAAATATCTCTTTTAAAAATAATACACAAGTAGTATAAATTATCTAAAAAAATAGTTATTTACACTTTTGTTGCAATTATAATCTAATTTAATTTTTTTTTTTTAATTATTGTTAATCTTTGATATAATGCGTCATATTTCAACACTAATATTTATATTATGTTATAAGTTGTATTGTAACTAACGTATTTAAAATTCTTGTTATGTACTTAGCTACTTTTCATTTTTTATATTAACTGACGATTTTTTAATCTAAATTTTATGATGTGGCTTGATTTAAAAGACGTTTAAAACCCTTGCGGCATTTGTAAGATTATTACAATGTGCTACGGAAAAGGATTTTATTATAAAAAGGACAATTAAAAGAAAATTGTTATATAACCTTGGTTCAGTTGCAATAACACCAGCTGCAAAAACTTTATTAACTCAAGCACAATTTCAAGCTAGGATCAAATTTAGTAAATACTTTTACGCGAATTTAATATACAATACTAATGTTTGATTGTATGTATTTTAAATTTTATTTTATTTTTTATTTATTTATTCTTTTTAACACCCAAATTACAGGTAAAAAAATAAATTGTATAAAACTAATAGTTTATACTTTCAGTGTAAAAAAATTAACTTTTTCTTGGGATGTTTTCCTCCATCAACTTAGTAAATACCAGTCTTTGTTCTCTGATATTCCAGAATTCAAAAGAATGGTTCAAAATTGCCGCTATATTTTCTCCTACGTCATCGTAGCAACGTTTTACCGTTATTTTTTTCCCCTCTATCAAACACTGCACGAAGTTTATCTCAAGTTGATTGCAAATTTTTATTACTTCGTTGATAAATAGGTTATCTTTAGTAACATCAGATATCTGAGCCAAAATCAGGGAAAAACAAGTTGGATTGTTCAGTAGTCTGATAAACAGATTTAATTTGTTTTGAATGAGGATGGTAGATATGTCATTAATTTTAAAGAAGGGATGCAGGTAGTTTTTGCTGTACTTCGATATACTAAATAGGAATTTTAATGCTGAACTTCCAACAGCGTCTAGTTTATTAAGAAGTGAATTATTATAACATAATAATAATAACCCGTATGATAAATTCGGTACAGCCAGTGATTTGAACAAGTGTACTATGGTTATTGGTTGACAAAGACGAATACCCGATTTTATAAGAGCTCTGGATATTGATTGAAACTGAATAATACGTTCATTTACATTTAATGTTTGAAGTGTTGCTATATTTTTTGTATGATTTTGATTATCCCATAGGAATCCGAGGTTTTTCAGTTTATTCTTGAGGTGTATGGACATGTCGTTTATTTGAATTGAATTTTTTGTAATTGAGCTTTTACCGGATATAATAAACTCGGGTTTTTCAGTGTTTAGTTTGATATATAGGTTTTGTCATTGTGACTGAACTTTATTAACCAATTCTTGTAAACCAGAAAGAGTAGGACTTAGTAGGATTATATCGTCTGCATAAGCTATAACACCGGTGTACACCCCACTTATCGTTGTTCCAACTTTGCAATCTGAAACATTTTGATTTAATATACTTTGAGTGTATAAATTATATAAATGTGGTGATAAAATGGATCCTTGTCGCACGCCTTAAGACAAACGGAAATGATTTGATTTATGCCCAAGGTATGATATACTAGCAGTACCCGATAGGTATAGTTATTGTAGTACGCGAACTACTGATAACGATAATTTTTTGTTGTAATAAAGTTTTTCAAAAAACAATTCCCAGTTACAGCTATCGAAAGCCTTATTTGCATCTAAACTACAAATACATATTGATGAACTATTGTTATTGTAATGTTTTATTGTTTCACTTAAAAGAAACTATGCATGAAGAGTAGAGCTATTATGTTTGAAGCCAAATTGGTGAGAGTGGCTATCTGATATTTCCGGACATTTTTATATAATTATATATTCAAAGAGCTTTGTCAGAACTAGCACGATACTAATTCCGCGATAGTTATCGGGGTTATCAAGAGATTTTTTATAGGATTTTACTATTGAAACAATTATAGATGTTGATAGGTACTCCGGCACCGCTCCATTATGCGGGAGCCATGATAAATGGTCATTTACAATAACTCCTAAAAACCTTATAGTATCTTGTTTTTTAATTTCTTTATAATCTATAATAAGTTTTAGCAGTTTAGGAAGGTTTTCTTCTTTTGTATTTGTATACAACAAGGTATATTGTGTTTTTTCAACATTATAAAAAAGTTTACTTGACCTAAACCAACAATTTACTTTTTCTAATTCAATGTTTATGTAAGCATATAGTTGGATAATATTTGCTGTTAGATAAAAATTAGGGTTGTAACGGATTTAATTTTTCAAATCCAGCCGGAGCCGGATTTATTAGATTTTAAATTACAAATCCGGCCGGAGCCGGAGCCAGATTTTGAATGAAAAGTAGAAGCCGAAATCCTGAACATCCCTTCCTTGTATTAAGAATAATCAACAATGTTGGCCGTTCTTAATACTAAGTGAAAACTGTTTTCTTTTAAACTTCATTGTTGTTATTAAAATAAAAGAACATAATTTCACATAATATAACATAAAATAACAAAATATTTGATAAACTATTGAAACTTTTGATTTGAAAGCGAACTTCAGTTTCATTTATTTATCTAAAATACCTTTGATTAGTTTCGAATTGTACTTTAGAAATATTAGGCGAGATGCATTTTGTGGCAGGATCAAACTACGATGGTCATTGAGAACCTCTCTAGCAACACTGAATCAACGTTTTGATGGTACTGTTGTAGATGGAGCACCAAAAAAAATGCGAGCTAATTTTGCCAGTACTGGCAACTATTGCATGTTGTTATTCTACCACTGCAGTAGATCAGAGTGTCTATTTATTTCAGGCTCTGCCAGATACTGACTTAGCTAAATGTCAATGCCTGTTGATAACTTTTGCTCATGCGCTGTGCAATCAGCGGACGTAGACTGAACAATTTAATCAATACATTGGCAGAGTAATACATTGTAGTAATCAATACATTGGCAGAGATGATGTGGAAGAATAATCCATTTGAGCTTGTTTCACTGGAATTTCTTCAAATTTTTTCAATCTTATGCTCAGCATGCTCAGTTTGACTTTTATCTTGCATCGATACTCTCTGCAATGTTACTTTATTGAATGCAAGCAGAATCTCTGCTTTTGCAGCTGTCAGTGTTGCTTGTAACGAGAAGAATGTATTTTTTATTCGTGGATCAACCAGTGTTGCAACCATAAAAAGAAGGTTTCTCCTCAAGGCCTTTAAAACGCTCTTCCAATGCTTCTTCCGTTACACCTGCATCATTGCCTTCCTTATTTAATAGGTTCCACAGAGCTGTGACAATATATTATAATTATATTTATATTTATATTTATTATATAGTTATAATTATAACTATAATATATGATAACTATTGATATATGTGCTGTTTTACAGCTAACTTCGTGAGTAGCCTCTTCAAACAGAGCCAGCACACATACTTCATTCTCAGCCACAGACCATTAATATGCAGTTAGACAGGAAGTTCGACCAACTTCAGAACAGTAGACACTTGATGCACGACGCTGTTTACATAGTTGACGCACCGTGTGAAACGTTGAGTTCCATCAGCTGGTGGTCTGGTAAACATAGTTCAGCCTGCAGCACCTTGAACCGATCAGTCGCAGATGAAGAATGCTTAAAATGAATAACTAATTTCTTTCCAATACTTGTTATATCTGATACTACCCGCTGGTTGAGCAACCCATAACTGACTAGTTTGTGCAAAGCACCTGAGGCTTTCTATGTTGGCATTACGGAAACATTTTGATATGTTTGCTGCACTGTCTCGAAGCACGACATGACAGCGTCTAACGTCAATGTTGCATTTGTCAAGCATCTGCTGAAAGGCAGTCATCAGTGCAGGAGGCATACAATTCAACACGAAGCTCATGTTTTTATAGTGCTCTGTCAGCCAGTGGGCAGTTAAGCTCATCAATGATTGTACAGTATTGTCTGCTGTCCATGTATCAGTGGTTAATGACAGAAATGGAATAGCTGCTGGGTATAGCATCACCGACAGTTGAGCAGACAATTCAACGTTTATTTCAGGAATTAAATGCTCTGCGAAATATTTTTGCGAAGGAATAGTGTACCGCTTTTCTAAAATTCTCATTAGTTCTTCAAAGCCTTTCTTCTGAATAACCTGAATTGGTTCCATATCTTATCTCATGAATTCTTATTGATAAGATGTTATTGGTATCCAATTTTTTGATGCGCGCAATTTGTTCTGGAATTGTGTACTGGACCATGGCTTTATTGGTTGTGGCAGTTCCATCAGTCTTGAGATTTGACAGTGTTACATTTTCGGCTTTCTTCTGTGAGTCAGCAATTTTTAATTGCATTTCGGCGTATTCATTGCGATGTTTTGAACGAAGATGTGTTAGCATAGACGAATTTAAAAAAAAAAAAACTTAGGTTCACCAACTTTACCACGCGACAAGATGCTTGTACGCATCAGGCACTTGGATTTTGAGCTGTCGCCAGCCTTTAACTTGATGTACTTCCAAACTAGACTGTTATTCCTTTTGTATGCCATCTTGTAGAAAAAAAAATTAAAAAATTTTTTTATGACTATACAATTTTTACAAAGTAGTTGAATGTAATATTTAAACAAAAAAGTATATTTATAAATACGATGAAAAAAGACAATCTTAAAGAAAAAATCTAAGATCAAAACTTTAAGATCTAAAATTTAAAAAGAAAAAAAGTATTTTTTTATTACGTTAATTAAAAATTACTATACTATGCCAAATGCTTTGTAAATTATTATGAATAAAAAAAAATATTAAACACATAATTTATTAGTTTTACTTATTTCTTTATTAAATAAGGAAACAAACTAATTCCACAGTTTAACCTATTTTATTTTAATTATCAAAAAATATTGATAACGTAATTATGTTATATAAATATTTATTTTTTCAATGAATCTTTCCAAACTTTTTCTATGACTACTTTTATAAAAACTTTTTGTAGAAAAACTTAAGCGCGATAATAAACGTAACAAAATTTAAATTTAATCGTAAAACAAAAAGTACTAGTTTTTATGATCATTATAAAAACTATTACGTTTTATAAAGTTTTTAAAAAATAAATATAAAAGGTGCTCTAAAGGCTCAAATATTCGATTAAAATTTATAACAACCATGGGTCAATGTTATAAAACTTTTTATCGGCGTAAAATGCTACCGGCGGACTATATTTTTACTATAGAATTTTTACAGCCGTAAATTTAGAGACGTAAATTGTTTTTTCATTCAATGTTATAAAACTTTTACCAGCGTAAAATTTTGAAGATATCTATGCTCTGAATTTGTTTTCGGAAATCTACTGTCGGAATCAATAACATAAAAGATTGTCAAAAACAAAATGTTTTTGAGCTGATAACATCAAAGCTAACAAAAATTAATAGTTTCTTATGGATTTGGACTCATACTGGTTTGATTCTGATGAAGAATATTTTATTGCTTTAGAATATTTGGCGATCAGAGACAAACGCGAAAAGTAAAATTTTCAAACAGTATTTAAACTGTTAAGAATACAATTTAAATGGAAAAAAAGGGATTGTCATTAATTTTTTACCCTACCCTATAACAAAATAACTTTTTTTATACTATTTTTTACATAGAGGTTTCTTTAGACCAAAGTTGTTAGTCCTTGGCCTTGACCTTGCCTTAAGACTAAAAACTAAGGCCCTATACCTTGAAACTTTTGGCCTTTGAAGTTTTTGGCCTTGATCTTGATTGTTTAGGCCTTGGTCTTAACAATAAAATACATAAAATTAAAGAAATTTTTTACGTAAAAAAAAGTTTTTATTCTTTTTTTTATTTAATTAATTTGGTAATTAATCATTCTTTATTTTGTAAAATTGTGTTGATATAATTATAGAAAATCTACACACATTTTATATCATACAATCAATACACATCGAAACATATTATACAATCTATACACATAGAAAATCTATACACAGAAAAAAATAGGAAAAATTGCATAAATAAACTTTTTTTAAAAAATGAATTTAAATATTAAATACTTAAAATTATTATTCACTAACTCAAATTCTTATAACAAAAATTTATTTAGGCACAAATAAACATTTAAGCATAAAACTCTTTTGATGCTTTCTGTTTAGAATTTTATCCACAATAAGTTTTGATGTGCTTCCATACCATAGACAGTATGAGAAACTTTGAAAACAAGTTGTACATAATTTCTAAACACTTTGTGAATAAGAAAAAAAATCTTTGATGAATTTTGTTA